CACCATCAACACTGCAGACCCCACTTCCAGCGATACAGCTGCGCCGGGGTCTCGCCGTCTCCACCCACCCTGGATCCACGACCAGGATTCAGCTCCCAGTGGGTGAACCTCTCCTAAATCCAGAGAGCATAGCAGGAACAAATCAAGCTATTGCAAGAGCTTACTCTGAAGGTATCCCTTCCCCCAAACATGAGCCAAGGCTTCAAGAAAGCTACAAGATAATCTGGTTTTAATGACCACACACTGGCTTTTATGCAAGTCCCCATGCAAGGGGACATCCCACAGGGTGGGACCCAGTATAACCAATCACAGACAATACAAACAAAACACTCCCACAGTGACATCACAATCCCTACTCTCTATCCTGGAGATAATTGGGAAGTAATCAAATTATCTCCCAGGACAGAGGCAAGACTCCATTAACCACATGGTTACAAAAAGACTTAAAATTACACAATGTTACAATTACTACATAAAACATATACATGCAACATATCCCCAGATAGCTTATTATTATTGAATGGCGCTCAGATCACATACATACAATTCAATTGCCATGGAGCCAAAGTCTTTTCCATAGTCTTTTGTTACACAAATTGGCTCCATGGCATAGCTATCTGGGATAGCACTACTACCATACTGAAAGTCCAGAACGCCTCAGCAGAAATACACAAATAAACCTTTCTGCAGGGGAAAATACCGCTATCAGCACATGGGCCATAGTCGGGAGGCAGGAGGCTAGCCAGTAGTCCCCTCCAGGCACAAGTGGCGAAGGGCACTTCATCACATAAACCACCTAATGTTAATATTGACAAGGAACAACAGCTGTTTGAGCAAATTGAGAAAGCTGCAAATCTGGGTAACACTTTAATTATTGGAGATTTTAATTACTCAAATATAAATTGGGACAGAGGGACTAGTGCCTCAGCAAAGGGAATTAGGTTTTTAAACTTGTTAAATGACACCTTCATGTCACAACTTGTGCAAGCACCAACTAGAATGGATACTTGTCTGGACCTGGTTTTAACAACTAACGTTGATCTTTTGACCAACATCTAAGTAGGTGAGCACTTGGGAAATAGTGATCACAATATAGTGTCCTTTGAAATAAACTCAAAAAAACAAAAGCACATGGGGTATACTAAAACATATAATTTTAAAAAGGCCAATTTCAATAAGTTAAGGGAAGCTTTACAATATATTGACTGGCATAAACTCTTTAGTGAAAAGAACACTGAGGATAAATGGATCATCTTCCAACAAATATTAAAAAGGTACATTTCTCAGTATGTACCATTGGGAAATAAATATAAAAGAAACAAATTAAAACCAATGTGGCTTAGTAGAGAAGTAAAACAAGAGATTACAACTAAGAAAAGGGCATTTAAAGCATTTAAATCGGACAAATCAGATGCATCTTATAAAAGATATAAGGATGCAAATAATGCGTGCAAAAAGGCAATTAGACTTGCTAAACTTCAAAATGAAATAATGATAGCTAAAGAGAGCAAAACCAACCCCAAAGCATTTTTTAATTACATAAATTCTAAAAAAAAACAAAATGAAAGTGTAGGTACACTAAAAACTGAAACGGGGTGTTAATTAATGAAGACCAGGAAAAGGCAGGAATTTTAAATAACTATTTCTCCTCCGTATATATTAAGGAAGAACCCATGGCAATAGATGTGCAAATGATTGCTACTAAAAACTTGCAGAATAATTGTAATTGGTTAACTCAAGACAAGGTGCTGCAGCAACTAAAGAAAGTTAATATAAACAAAGCTCCAGGGCCTGACGGTATCCATCCACGTGTACTTTAGGAACTAAGTGCAGAAATAAGTGAACCTCTGTTTATACTCTTTCAAGATTCTTCTCTTTCAGGAAGTGTTCCGGAGGATTGGTTCCTACATTCTAAAAGGGTTCAAAATTCTTGCCTGGAAATTATAGACCTGTGAGCTTAACTTCTGTGACTGGGAAAGGGCTATTCAGGAATTCATTGGGAAGAACTTTGTTATTAGCAATAATTGGCACGGTTTTATGAAGCACAGGTCATGTCAAACTAACTTGATTGCATTCTACGAAGAAGAAAGTAGAAGTATAGATCAGGGTGTTGCAGTGGATGTGATCTACTTGGATTTTGCCAAGGCATTTGATATAGTTCCACACAATAGATTAGTGTTCAAATTCAAGGAAATCGGTCTAGATGAAAATGCTTGTTCTTGGGTAGAACATTGGCTTAAAAACAGAGTATAAAGAGTTGTCATTAATGGTAAATTTTCAAGCTGGACAGAGGTGGCAAGTGGTGTCCCTCAGGGGTCTGTTCTGGGACCCCTCCTATTTAACATATTTATAAATGATCTTGAAGAAAGCATTGAAAGTCATGTTTCAGTGTTTGCAGATGACACAAAACTCTGTAAAATAATAAAATTTGAGCAAGATATTACTTTGCTGCAGAGGGATTTAGATAGACTGGGGGAATGGGCACTCAAATGGCAGATGAAATTTAATGTTGAAAAATGCAAAGTTATGCACTTCGGCGTAAAGAATTCACAAGCAACGTATACCCTTAATGGAAGTGAATTAGGGATCACAACACACGAAAAGGACTTGGGAATTGTTATAGACAACAAACTATGCAACAATGTGCAATGTCAATCAGCAGTGGCCAAGGCCAGTAAGGTATTGTCATGCATGAAAAAGGGCATTCATTCTCGAGACGAGAATATAGTTTTGCCTCTTTATAAATCACTGTAAGACCACATATTGAATATGCTGTGCAATTTTGGGCACCTGTTCTAAAGAAGGATATTATGGCACTAGAAAAAGTGTAGAAGCGGGCTACAAAATTAATAAAAGGAATGGAACATATCAGCTATGAAGAAAGGTTAACAAATTTAAACCTATTAAGTTTAGAAAAACGTTGCCTGAGAGGGGATATGATAACATTATACAAATATATTCGGGGCCAATACAAACCATTGTGTGGAAATCTATTCACAAACCGGACTTTACATAGGACACGAGGCCATGCGTTTAGACTGGAAGAAAGAAGATTTCGCCTAAGGCAAAGGAAAGGTTTTTTTACTGTAAGAACAATCAGGATGTGGAATTCTCTGCCTGAAGAAGTGGTTTTATCAGAGTCCATACAGATGTTCAAACAGCTACTGGATGCATACTTGCAAAAACAGAATATTCAAGGATATAATCTTTCAATGTAGGGTAATAACTGCTTGATCCAACGATAAATCTGACTGCCATTCTGGGGTCAAGAAGGAATTTTTTTCCTAGCTTGTTGCAAAATTGTGCTTCAAACTGTTTTTTTTTTTGCCTTCTTTTGGATCAACAGCAAAAAACAAATGTGAGGAAGGCTGAACTTGATGGACGCAAGTCTCTTTTCAGCTATGTAACTATGTAACTATGTAACTATGTGATATATAACTTTTTAACATGCATTTTTCTGAATTTATTTTTTTTGTTATTCTGTCTCTAACTGTTAAAATACACCTACCATTAAACTTATAGACTGATCATTTCTTTGTCACTGGGCAAATGTTCAAAATCAGCAGGGGATCAAATACTTTTTTTTACCTCACTGTAGCCCTTTCCTCAAACACCAGATTACACAAAGCAAATTTATAGGGACAATCGCAACAGGGGGTCATCAACAGTGACATCCATCCCTGGTGCGGCTGTGCCTGGGAGATAACCAGAATAATTATCGCAAATCTGATTATCTTCCAGACAACAGGGCGCCTTAACTGAATATCCCTAAACACGTACATTTATACACTAATAACGCCACACGTGTGGGAACTCCAGCTAGCTTATCCATCACAGGGGTCCAAGCTACATCCAATGAACGTTCCTATTAGTTCCCGTCACATCTCTTTGCTTGGCCACATCCCTCAGCAGGACAAATCTTGTCAGTGATGTCAGCCCGCGTCCTGGTCTCGTCACAGCATTCCTATACTCCCTAGCCAGCGTTAGAAGTATCGGTTAGGGACGTTCTGTAGCAGCCCGTAATGCATACGCTGTGATTGCTGTGGGTGGAGAGCACAGGGTCCTCCTGTGGATGGTTTTTAAGGTTGCAGTGGATGTGATCTATTTGGATTTTGCCAAGGCATTTGATACAGTTCCACACATTAGATTAGTGTTCAAACTCAGAAATCGGTCTAGATGAAAATGCTTGTTCTTGGGTAGAACATTGGCTTAAAAATAGAGTACAAAGAGTTGTCATTAATGGTAAATTTTCAAGCTGGACAGAGGTGGCAAGTGGTGTCCCTCAGGGGTCTGTTCTGGGACCCCGTCTATTTAACATGTTTATAAATGATCTTGAAGACCGCATTGAAAATCATGTTTCAGTGTTTGCAGATGACACAAAACTCTGTAAAATAATAAAATGTGAGCAAGATATTACTTTGCTGCAGAGGGATTTAGATAGACTGGGGGATAGACCACATATTTAATATACTGTGCAATTTTGGGCAACTGTTCTATGGCACTAGAAAAAGTGCAGAGGCGGGCTACAAAATTAATAAAAGGAATGGAAAATATCAGCTGTCAGAGTATTTATATCGGCAGACATTTTGTGCTATGATAGAAACTAAAAGTGTATATTCTGAGTCACTCTGAACAGACCAGACTCCATTTTGTTATTTCAAGTTAACAGAAAGACACTATATTTCTATCTGTAAGCTAACCACTTTCCCAGAGCTCAGGAATGCATAGTATATACAAGCCAAGTGATAAGGAAGGGGGTTGGATAGACTGTCTAAAATGCTAATGGAATATAATCAAATCTAAACCCAGACAATTGTGACAGAGAAGAGTAAATAATTTAATATTTAACTGTCTATATATATAAGGTACCATTGTATGGAAAAGGGTAAACTTAGTTCATGATCTGTCATATCAGAAATTATGGCAGGAATTGCAGACGCTAAGTCTGGACAAAATTTAAGAAACCCTTTGAAATTTTAAATTATGGCGCTATAAAGATAACGCAAAATGACGTCAAAATAGCCACCAGGAAAAGTTAACTCTTTCCTGGATAGGTATGTTTAGTGGGACAAGACTGCCCTCTACAGACCAAATAACTAATTTGCGATCTGGAAGATAACCACACCTCTAGTGCTTCTATTGGGTCATCGACTGATGACGTACAGAGAGTCTGGCCCTTTAAAAGTTAAGACAAAGGGAAGATAGGGAAATACAAAAAGAGAGAATACGAAGGAGGCAGAGGCAAGAGATGCAAAGGAGAGAAAAGAGAGGAATTGGAAGTTTGGGGACTCCAACCTCCATGCAGAGAGAGACATCCAAATAAGTTCCTGAGGCTACCAATCGGATGAAATATCTACTCAACTGGTAATTATACTGGTTTCATTTAATTAAATTAAATTAATTAAAATGTATTAATAGCATTATATATGACTGGATAAAGCACGGTCAGATTTCCATATTAAGAAATCTTAGTTAACTAAAGAATATATAGTTATAAACATTCCATTCTGCAGGTGGAATTAAGAATAATTATATATTGATGTGATATTATCACGTGTTAGCATACCGCTGTTTTTATCCAGGTGTATTGATTTGCTCTAAATTAAGATAGATATCTTTTAGACAAATTAAAAATCTGCTTATATAATATGGTAAATTCTCTTATGGATGGTTTAAGAAAATGAATTTAAACTGGCTTAAATGTTATTTTATTTAAAATTTACATAAGAATAGATCTTAACTACCTAGGAGATCTAGCCAGCATTGAAAGGGTTATTCTAACTGTCTGCTAAACTTTACGACCTTACGCTGCACTCTGAGGAATTCTGTTCTTCACTGTGAAAACTTTCACTTTAAGTCTGTGTTAAAGATGGTAATAAATAAGTCTTGACAGATAATGCTGTTTTAGCCATTGAAACGTAATACCCATTTCTTTGTATTGCATACCATTTTATACTGGATATTCATTGATTATTGTTATGCATGTTACATATAATATTATTATTATTAATTTGTCATTATAAATAAAAATCTATTTTTATACATTGTGATATTATTATATGAAATACATTCCACTTAACACGATAAACGTTCTTTGGGATCTGAGAATTGAAATAGTGGGCAATTCTCAACTGTTTACTATTATTATCCCATAAATATCCCCACACAGCTATGAAGAAAGGTTAACAAATTTAAACCCTTGTCAGTTTTAAATTAAAGTTCAGATTAATTCATAATATCAGATTACTAGTTAGATATCATTAATAGATCCAGGTTTAGGTTATCAGGCACACAAAAATAAGTCCTACACTCAAACTCCCACTACTCCTGGGCAGCAGCAATGACCATAGCACACATCAGCCCCAATACATACAAAACAAGTAACAACAAAAAAGGTTACCTGAGCACTTCCCAAATTCCTTATGCATATTTAAATAAATGGAGGTTATTTTGTAACTCCAATGGCCATTAAATGGAAGCCCACCTGCCACGTCAGACAGTGGCTGCTCCACTGACCATTCACCTTGCTTCCTTTAGCTTCAGGCAAAGAAATCTAATGAAAAAGATAAGAAATGATCCCAAGGCACACCATGGTTTTGCACATAAAAAGAGTATTAATTCATCATAGAAAATACAACAAGACTTCATTATAGCAGAGAGAAAGTGCATAGTATACTGCTAAACCAGTATATAGTACCAAAACCACAATGTAAGTAAAGTGCTAAATGCAAAAACCCATTAAAAAAGGTATACTGACCAAGAGCAGGAGAAATGAAACCCCAACGTTTCGGCTGTGAAGCCTTCCTGTGGTTTTGGTACTATATACTGGTTTAGTACTCCACAGCTGAAACGTTGGGGTTTCTCCTGCTCTTGGTCAGTATACCTTTTTTAATGGGTTTTTGCATTTAGCACTTTACTTACATTGTGGTTTTGGTACTATATACTGGTTTAGCAGTATACTATGCACTTTCTCCCTGCTATAATGAAGTCTTGTTGTGATGTGGATACCTGAGAGGGACGCATGCTAGCAGGGAATCTCTGGGGCTGTGAGTTGGTCTCATGGCCGCAGAGTCCTGCTGGCCAAATGGAAGTCCGTTCCGACCAATTGGAGAGGGAGCGCCCATTCAAACTGGGTTTGCGCCATTCTCCTGGTTGGTCTGTACGAGTAAGCGCTGATAGTTTGCCTAGGAGGGGGCTGATTACAGATTGTGTGGAACTGAGACAGTGTCAGTGTGGAACTGAGACCCCCTGCGGGTGTCTGTGCATAAAAGAAGCATGTGTTCAATAAAGAGTTTGTCAGTCAGTGCTTAAACCTCCAAAACTGTGTGTCATCCTGTTATTGGAGGGAAGGAAGATTTAACCCCTGTGTCTGCTGTTCCAGCTTGCAGGGGATGCAACGGGGTAAGGACTAAGAGCTTCCAGGGTTGAGTGCCATGTCTGCCTGGGAGCACATAAAGCTAAGTACCCTAACCATGCAAGAGTTCCTGATCGGCTGAAGGAAGGGAACTAACGGGAGGTAACCGGTCAGGTTACCAGTGAGAGGTCCAGTTACAACAGCATCCATCTCTCCGGCCCCATGAAGGACGTCATCCATCTCTCTGGCCCCAGGTAGGACGGAATCCATCTCTCCGGCCCCATGAAGGACGGCATTCATCTCTCCGGCCCCATGAAGGACGGCATCCATCTCTCCGGCCCCATGAAGGACGGCATCCATCTCTCTGGCCCCAGGAAGGATGGCAGCCATCTCTCCAGCCACAGAAACAAAGGCATACATCTCTCCGGCCCCAAGAAGGACAGCATCCATCTTTCCAGCCCAAACTCTCCGGCAGAGTCTAAATATCTCTGAGGTATCTCACTGCTGGAAGTGTTATATCCATTCATCGTCCTCATTGGAGTGTCGTGTGTGACGTGGTAACACACAAGTCGTAGAGAATCATTATCCTCTAACCATTTTTTTTCTTCACTCCCTTTTATTGTTCCCAGATGAATATTCTGGAGATGGAGATATTGGCTGTGACTGCTTTCTGTCTGTGGGTCCTGGTAGATATCCATCGATGCTCAATGTCTGTCTGTGGATCTTGGTTGGTATCCATCAATGTCTGCTGTCTGTCTGAGGGCCTGGTAGATATCCATTGATCAACAGAAAAAGTACATATGTACTTCTATTTTTCTCAGATATCCATTGATACCCTCTGTTTGTCTGCCTGTGGCTCCTGGTAGATATCCATCTATGCCCGCTATCTGAGGGCCTGGTAGATATCCATTGATCTGTCTGAGGGCCTGGTAGATATCCATCACTCCTGCCTTGTGAGTGATACAATATACGCATTTCTATAAGACCATATTTGTTACAGCAATATTGCGCTATTTGTGTTCTGTATTTATATTATTGCAGATATCTTCTGAACGTGTACACAAGAAGCTCCACCTTATGTATGTATGTTTTTCTATGTATCTTGTAGAGGTGGTTTAGGGGATACCACTCAAGGTGTTTGAGCTTCACTTGAGATCTTGTTAAACTCCATATTGTGCACCGATCTATTGATTTAGATATCCATCAATGCCTGCTGTCTTTCTGTGGTCTGTGTGAGGGCCTGCTAGATATCCATTGATGCGCGCTGTCTGCCTGTGGGTCCTGGTAGATATCCATTGATGCACGCTGTCTGCCTGTGTGTCCTGGTAGATATCCATCAGTACCCATTGTGTGTCTGTCTGTGTGTCCTGATAGATATCCATCGATGCCCATTGTGTGTTTGTCTGTGTGTCCTGGTAGATATCCATCGATGCCCATTGTGTGTCTGTCTGTGTGTCCTGGTAGATATCCATTGATGCCCATTGTTTGTCTGTCTGTGTGTCCTGGTAGATATCCATTGATGCCCATTGTGTGTCTGTCTGTGTGTCCTGGTAGATATCCATCGATAGCCATTGTGTGTCTGTCTGTGGGTCCTGGTAGATGCCATTGTTTGTCTGTCTGTGTGTCCTGGTAGATATCTGTGGCAAACCTAGCCACTTGGACAATAACTAGAGACTGTGCCTTTAAGGGTTGCCAATAGGTCGGGCGAGATATGCGCTTTACACTTATGTAGATGTTAATGTATTTTCCGTATTGCCTGTAATGCTGTTTCCGCCGAATGCAAATGGCGGTTTTGTATGGGGATTCTCTTTCGTTTCACGAACGGCACTTTAGAAAGCCGTTCGTGAACCGAACGCGATACCCCCTAATAGCCCACACACTTAGAGGCGTGTGGCGCTAGTTAACCGATTGCAACATTGTTGCAATCGGTTATTAGAGGCTCTCCTGGGTGGCCGTCGTTCGACTACCGACCATGCGGCGGTCGGCCATCTTGGATCCCTTGTTCTTCAGCGGGGCCGTGTCGTCGAACGCATAGCATTACCAATAGTTATTCGACGGCACGAACACCGCTGAGCCTCCAGGACGTTCGGGAGTTTCAGGACCAGGTTCACTAAAAGCAATCGGTTCTTTTCGTGTGTTTTGAAAGAAATGTGTTTTCTGTGCGGCGTTCGGTTATTTTAGCTGGGATCTGAGCGGCAATCTCACGAATGATGCGCCCAGACCCCAGCTATCTACCGAACGTCCATTCGTGTAAATCCACCGTGTATTTTAAAAGTTATGTATTTTTGTATGAATTGCCGGTTCTGCTGCACGAGGGGATAATCCCCTTAACGGTGCATTCTGGGAGGATGATCCCTCTCGTGCAGCGGTGCCTGATGGGAGAAATATGTTATACTGTAAGTCCCCCATGTAGTCCCCTCTGGGAGTGCCCCTGGGAAGGGACTCAGGAAACCCCTTGCATGGGGACTTGTATAAATTGTCGTGCCGATTAAAGGATTGTCAGTTGACTCCCAAAACTGTGTCTCGTCCGGTTATTGGGAGGTTGGGGATATTGCCTTGGTGTTTTCAGCGCTTGACTGTGGATTCGTTTCTGGACCAGCGGAATTCGTGGATTTAATATTGGCGTTCCGCTACAATATCCATCAATGCCCATTGTGTGTCTGTAGGTCCTGGTAGATATCCATCGATGCCCATTGTGTGTCTGTCTGTGGGTCCTGGTAGATATCCATCAATGCCCATTGTGTGTCTGTGGGTCGTGGTAGATATCCATCAATGCCCATTGTGTGTCTGTGGGTCCTGGTAGATATCCATCAATGCCCATTGTGTGGGTGTCTGTGTGTGTTATGGTAGATATCCATTAATGCCCAT